ATATTTTTTTTTCATGGGGTCAATTCTCTCCTAAGCAATTCCCAATCCCATCCATTAATAAATCAATAAGCTGTATGCAAATTGTAAGTATTCTTTCTCTTTCGAGAAATAAATACAAATATTGACGGTGTCAATTAATTTAGTTGATAAAATTCTGTAACCATTAAATGATTGATTACAAATATCTTTTCTACTAAAAGTTAGAATTGGTTGTGAAAATTTTTTGTTTTTATTATAATTTTTTTCTCTTTATTTTCTTACTCAATTTCCATTAAAGAAGAAGATAAAAATCCAATACTAAGTAAAACATTCTCCCATGTCATTGGTGTAAGGAAAACTCTCTCAGAATGTTCTTCCTCACTTTATTGCTTAAACAAATGGGTGCAAATCCAAGTCAAGTCAAGGAGATCCCACGCCATGAGTTCTTGACCCTTCGTTTGCCTTGCTATGGCGAATTATACCCATGTATATATATATATATATATTCTTTTACGGGGTTTTCATGTCTGTCTAGAAGCAGCCATTGGCCCTCAACAATCTTCACAGGAACTTTGATTTGAGTGGTGCTTTTCAATTTTCCCTAGGTTAAAATTTTTCCTTTCGAATTTTGGGGAGACAAATAAAGAGAGATGGAAAGAACTTGGTCCATGGCACTTTGGTTGGTTGGAAAGCTATGCATCACACCACCACCATCTCCTTTGCTCCTTTGTCATTCTGTTTTTCTCTATGTGATTTCCATGGGATCTATCACCCATCAACTTCTCTTTTCTTTTCTTTTTTTCATCTTTTAACCAAAAGCTCTTGGGGAAAAACATGTAATGTTAGGAAATGTGATGATAGAAAACTTGGAAAGAGGTTTGCCACACAAAGTTTGAAGGGATATGGGACCATTGGAAAGAGGGGAATATATGTCTCTATTTACCTATAAAAAGCTAGTCTTCATATACCAGAAACAAAAATGTTCCAAATTGAAGGTATGTTGTGATAGAAACACTTTATTACATGCAATATTTGGATGAATCTTCTTACTTTTGAGACCCCCAAAGGAAAAAATAATGGTTTTGGTCTATGTTCAATAATTAGTTTTTTGCATTGGTCTAAATGACAAAAGGATCAGAAAGTATTGTTAGTTTTGTAAGCAAAACATTTTTTTCGATTATTGTTCATCAAACGAATCTATTTTTCCCTGTCATGATCTTACATTGTTTGTGGCCTGATTCTTCTAAAACAAAAGTAGCTTTACATCTGAGCAGTAGGGAGAGGAATCCTGATTCAAGAATACTGCTTCAATCTCCATCCTTGTGGCTTTCAACCCAAGGTCCTGCACATGTTTCACAGCTAGCTATGGATGTCTTAATCTATTTGTCTGGCTTTGCGTGATCATTGCAGCTGATTTGGGGACTCTTATGTTTTCTTTGTTGTGCATTCATCACCCTTTCAGATGTCATTCCAAAGGGTTCTTTATCAATCAATTAAATCACAATTATTAACAGTATAAAATGATTGATTACATAGGTAATAAATTAGAGTTAGCATGCAGTTGGCAGTTCTTTGCTGAATACATGCTAACAGGATTCTTAAGCAATAAGATTGGTTAAACATAAGCTTAGCATCTTTCCCTTTAAGTAATCAGACAGGGAAAGACAATTTAACAACTGATTACTCAAAGCTTCACCAGGTAAATTACGTTCATTTTCTTTGTAAAAAAATGAAAGAGACCCCCGCAATTTTATGTCTGCAATTTCAAGGGTAACAAGATAAGCTAGTTGCCCCATTTTTGGGGGAGCAAGGAAGTGAAAAAGAAAGGCAATGACAAGTACTTTTGAATTATTTGGTGTATTTTTTTTTCATGCAATCAACTTCTATAGGTGAATGGTATAATAAACAAATCAATGATGTCATAGGAAGTGAAACCAAAAACCATGGGAGTTGATGCTGGATTGATTTTTTTGGTACTCTCTTTTACACTTATTACAGTAAGAAAAATATTTATAGTTGAGCAATGTACATCAATACATTGAATCTCCCCATTAATTGCATGGCTTGTTGATTTTGCCATCTGGAAAGCAATGCCACAGCACTGCCACCCTCTACACCACAGTACCATAAGCTACAGCAGCCATCCAGACACCCACCAAACATTGCCCACTGCTAACACTGGTTTGGTGGATTGTTTAACCTGCAATGTGTACTAGCAGGAGCTCTGATACATAGGCCTCAATTGTCAGTTGTATGTATCAGTTACTGTGGTTTCACAATTACTTAGAAATTTATAGGGTTAGGTTAATTAGAGGTAGATTTAGATTTGTAATGAAAAGGTCAAAGATTATTAGGAACAGATCCCAAGCTTGATTAAAGGGAATGTTTGTGAGATTTCAATGGAGGTGTGGAATTATGCTTTTCCAATGATTATAAGTCAACTTATGCAAATTAAATGTTTTAATTGCTGTGGGGTGC